AAGTCAGGACAGTGACCCCGACGAAGACGATGAGGAGGAAGATTCTTCAGATGAAGAGGATGAAGACTCCACTCAATACATCAACGCCTCGCACATCACGGTAACGTTCGGCCTATTTATGAACCCGTTTCTATGTAAACTACTAAAAATATCAGCTGATGTCAAACTGCTTCCTGTCACCTTCTTTCCTGTTGCAGCAGATAACGAAATGTGTCTCGTCTTCTGTGTTTGGACTCGATGTGTTTGTCTCCCACACAGGGATACTGGGGCTGCCGAGCCTTCATAGTGGCGCAGACCCCACTGGCGGACACCACGGGGGACTTCTGGTCGATGATTCACCAGAAGAAAGTTTATACTGTCATCATGCTTTCAGACAGCAGTGAAGGAGACGCGGTACAAACAGTATAACATACTTATAGTGATACACATTAAATGTACATGTGGTAAATATGGTTGTGTTCTTCTGCTCAACAGGACGGTATTTACTGGGACAAAGAGAAGAAGAGCTTTGGGGAGATTGAGGTGGAAGTGACGAGCACAGACAACTCGCCGAGTTTCATCAGACGCACCATGCAGATCCGCCACGTCAAGGTAACACAGCAGCCACCCACTCTGCCTCTGTAAGCGAGCCTCGCCCGCTGACGAGACCGGACGTTTGTAAGCCAGCTGTGCTCTTCTTTTCCTCTTCTATCCACAGAGGAAAGAGAGACGGGAGATAAACCATTTCCAGTTCCTGAAGTGGACGAGCAAAGAGGTGCCGGAGAAACCTCAAGACCTCACAGACATGATCAAGGACATCAAGCAAAACTGCGGCACCAGCAGATGCCAGAGGAACAACCCCATAGTGGTCCACTGCGAGTAAGAAGCACACAGGAAACAGTTCAGTGATGAGAACGGGACAGCAGGCGGCGAGGACGAGTCATCGTTCTCAGCGATCAGTAAAATGTGTCGCAACAGTCGACTTCTCCATCTCGCTGGGTTTCAGGGTGGACACCAGTGTTCCCTTTGATCAGTGTTTTTAAATAAAGAGCTCAGTAAAATCTAAGCAGCAGGATATCTCTTAAACAGAGAAATCAGCTACGTAGCTGCATTTCTGCGCATATACAGATGCTGCCACATGTTTTAGTGCAAGCCCTACAGTTGGCAGAGCGTGCATGAGTGCAGCTATCATTTACGTTGCAAATTTTAGATAAAGATCTTGATGAAAATGAGCTCACCCTGCTTTGCAGCCTCACCTCATTTCAAGGAAACCATGCATTTGATTTCCTTTGAGGCATGAATATGTTATAAAAAATAGTGTGAATACTCCCAACCGCACTCTCTAAAGCAGGGGTGTCAAACTCAAATACACAGTGGGCCAAAATTCAAAACTGGAACAAAGTCGCGGGCTAA